GCCCCCCCCCTCTCCGGCCGTTCTCTGGGCACGGGGCCGGGGAGCAGCCACCCGCCGGGCTAATCCGGGCCGTGACGGACAGGCCCGGCGCCGCCGCCGCTCCGGCCGCCCCATAAGAGGTGCCGCGGCTCCGCCGCTCCCCATTGTTAGGGCGAGGACGCGGGGAGGCCCCGCTCGGTGGGACCGGCCCATGGGGACCCTCCGCGCCGCCCCTATAAGAGGGAAGGGGCTGGAAGATGCTCCCGGGTGCTGAGCGCTGCGCACCCACCGTACTGAACCGAGTCCAACCGTACCCGTCTCCCCGGGGAGTCGACGGGTACCGCCCACGGAGCAACGAGCACCGGGACCGGGTACCGAATACCGGGACCGGGTACAGCTCACGGACACAGCCGAGTACCGGTACGGGGGGTACCGCGGACGGACAGCCCGACGCCGCGCTCCAGGGACCGGCGAGGGAGCGCCGGGCACCGCACTCCCGACGCCGCACCTCGGACACCGGGCACCGGTTTGGCAGCCCGGTGCCGGCGTCGGTGCCGGTTCGTCCGCCCGGCGCTCCCCGTTTCTTCCCACGGCCGCCTTCATCGGAGCCGCCCGCCCTACCCGCGCCCCGCGCGTCCGGAAACACGCGTGGATGTAGCGGCCGGGCCGGGGGCTCCGCGGCACCATAAATACCCCGGCGGCCGCTCGCCCGCGCACTTTGCCGGGGCCTCCCGGTGCCGGAGCCATGAGAACCGCCGCGCTGGGGCTGGCGCTTCGGGCGCTCTGGGCTCTGGCCCTCTCCTCCCTCTCCAACACGCTGGCGGTGAACAACAGCGGGAGGTGGTGGTGAGTCCACCGGTACCGGCACCGGGGCACGGAAGGGGTTGGGGGGGGAGAGAGGGGTTGGCACCGATGGTGGCTGCCCCATACCCAAGGATGGGGTGCACAGGTGCAACTGGGGGGGGGGGTATGTGACATGGAGCTGTGACCCCCAGGTGGGAGCCGGCTGCTGGGGATGCCCGGGGAGGAGGATGCTCCAGTAGCAGAGAGGAACCGGGTCAGGCTCCCCCCCCCCCGCCACCCCCCCGGGAGGGTTGAGGTGGGGAGCGGGATGTCGGGGATCCCTCCCCGGTGATCGTCGTCCCCGCTTGTGCCGCAGGGGCATCATCAACGTGGCCTCGTCCACCAACCTGCTGACCGACTCCAAGAATGTGCAGCTGGTGCTGGACCCCAGCCTGCAGCTGCTGAGCCGCAAGCAACGCAAGCTGATCCGCCAGAACCCCGGCATCCTGCACAGCGTCAGCTCCGGCCTCCAGACCGCCATCAAGGAGTGCAAGTGGCAATTCCGCAACCGCCGCTGGAACTGTCCCACCTCCCAGGGTCCCAATATCTTCGGCAAAATCGTCAACCGGGGTGAGGCTGCGGGGCGGTGGGAGGCAGTGCGGGGTTCCCCGGACCCCCTCCACGGCACCCCCGAGCCAGGATGCTTGGCAAAGCACCCCCGGTTCACCACGGGGCATCACCAGCCCCCAACCCATCCCCAGCCCGTTGTGGCTGTGGGTTGAGGGTGCCGATGGGTGCCCCCTCCCCATCCCGGCAGCACCCTGAGGCCCCGCTCCCCTTCTCAGGCTGCCGGGAGACGGCGTTCATCTTCGCCATCACCAGCGCCGGCGTCACGCATTCGGTGGCACGGTCCTGCTCGGAGGGCTCCATCGAGTCCTGCACCTGTGACTACCGGCGCCGCGGTCCCGGGGGGCCTGACTGGCACTGGGGGGGCTGCAGCGACAACATCGACTTCGGGCGCCTCTTTGGGAGGGAGTTTGTGGACTCCAGTGAGAAGGGCCGCGACCTGCGCTTCCTCATGAACCTGCATAACAACGAGGCCGGGCGCATGGTGAGGACATGGGGGGCCACGGGCAATACCGGGGGGGGGACACGGGGATGGACACCAAGACCCCCAGCCTGTCCCCATGCAAGGGTTGGGAACTGTTGGAGAGGGGTGTCTTGCCTGGCTTTGGGCAGGCTGAGTATGATGTGATGCTGCAGGGAGGTGGGGTGAGGGAGCACGGTGGTCCCCAGGGGGGTCCCAGGCTGCTCACTGCACCCCATGTCCGTCCCCCCCCCCACCTTGCAGACGGTCTTCTCAGAGATGCGCCAGGAGTGCAAGTGCCACGGCATGTCAGGCTCCTGCACCGTCCGCACGTGCTGGATGCGGCTGCCCACTTTCCGCGCCGTGGGTGACGTCCTGAAGGACCGCTTCGACGGCGCTTCCCGCGTCATCTATGGCAACAAGGGCAGCAACCGGGCGTCGCGGGTCGAGCTGCATCACCTGGAGCCCGAAAACCCGGCTCACAAACCCCCCTCGCCCCATGACCTCGTCTACTTTGAAAAGTCACCCAATTTCTGCACCTACAGCGGGAAGACGGGAACGGCGGGCACAGCCGGGCGCTTCTGCAACAGCTCCTCGCCGGGGCTGGATGGGTGCGAGCTGCTGTGCTGCGGGCGCGGGTACCGCACGCGCACCCAGCGCGTCACCGAGCGCTGCAACTGCACCTTCCACTGGTGCTGCCATGTCAGCTGCCTGAACTGCACCAACACCCAGGTGCTGCATGAGTGCCTGTGAGCCCCCCAGGGACCACCCTGCCCAGCCCCAGAGGGGGTCTGCGCCACCCCCCATGACGGGTGCCCAGCTGGATTGAAGGTGCCCATGGGTGGGCGTGTGGCTGCGCCCCAGGGACCCCCGTCCCATTCCAGGTAGAGCGACCGCCCCAGGGCCAGCAGCCAGCTTGGGTGGGCTCGGTGCCACGCACCTTCCCGGCTGCCTCCTCGGCCATTCTGGCTCTGTGGGGTCCCCTTTCTCACTGTAAATAAAATATTTATTGTGGACAGTTTGATGCTGCCCCCACCCTGCGCTTTGCTGGCCCCAGGCCCTGTTTTTTATAATGAAAGATAATAATAATTAATAATAATTAATAATAATAATAATGCTTTGTTACAGGTTTTACTGATAGCCTTTAGAGAAGAATAAAGGATATATTTTTATCATTCCTGCCCCAATTTGTTTCTGGGGGGCTGGGGAGGGAGGGGACAAGCTACGGGGAGGGGGGAGCAATGTCCCCCAAACCACGGGGCTGGGCAGCCGGCCCCCGCTGCCCTCCGCTGCCCGCATCCATCCACTCTGTCCATCCGTCTATCACCTCTCCATCCACTCACCTCCCCATTCCATGTCCATCAGCCCCTCCAGCCGTCTGTCTGTCCATCCTCCTACTCCTTTTCTCTGCCCTCCCCTCCATCATCCCCTCCCCGCAGACCCTCTTCTTTCTCCCGCTGTGCCCGTCTCCAGCCCAGCTGTCCCTGCCGCCGCTCCCGGCCGGGGCGTCCATCCCCATGGCCGGGGCGCCCATCACCATGGCACCTGGGCTGCGGCATCCCCGGCGCTGGAATTTGCCGGGGCGGTGGAGCTGGTGCCGCTGGGGCCAGGCGTTGGGAGCGGCCACGGGAGGTACAAGACGGCAGACAGGGAATGAGCATCGTCCATCACCGCTCCCGGCCGGGGCTGACGGCTCCCCTTGGCTCCGGGGGAGGAGGGGGGCCAGGGAGGGCACTGAGGTTATTGGGGCTGGGGCAGGGGGGGCCAGGATCGGCCACTGGCCCCACACGCGGCCCCACACCCATGCGTGGGGTCTGGCTGCAGCCAGAGAAAGGCCATGGTAAAGGTGGGGCGCAGTTTCGCAGCTGGCAGGTGCCCTGTTGGCATGGGTATCCCCCTGGGATGGGCATCCCCCTGGGGTGGGCATCCCTCCAGGACAGGCATCCCACTAGGATGGGCATCCCACCAGGGTGAGCATCCCACTGGGACGGGTATCCCCCTGGGATGGGCATCCCACCAGGGTGAGCATCCCACTGGGACGGGTATCCCCCTGGGATGGGCATCCCGCCGGAGTGGGCATCCTCCCAGGACAGGCATCCCACCAGGGTGAGCATCCCGCCGGGGTGGGCATCCTCCCAGGACAGGCATCCCACCAGGGTGAGCATCCCACCAGGGTAGGCATCCCACCAAGGTAGGCATCCCACTGGGGTGGGCAGCCCACCAGGATGGGCATCCCCCTGGGATGGGCTTTCCCCTGGGATAAGCATCCCACAGGGATGGGGATAGCCCCAGGATGGGCATCCCTGGGAAGGGCAGCCCTCCGGGACAGGTATCCCACTGGGACAGGTATCCCATCAGGGTGGGCATCCCCCTGGGACAGGCATTCCCTGGGGCGGGCATGGGGCCCACATACACCCTCTGCACTGTAACTCCACACCTCAGTGATGGGCTGCAACCCCTGTCCCCATGTCAAGCACGGGGTGAACCACAGGGCCACGGTGACATCCAGCCATGGGGAGCGGGCAGGGAACCGTCCCTGCCCGGGGACCCCCAAATTCATCAGCACCCGCCCGCTGTGGGGGTCCCCGCAGCCCAGGCTCCCCCGCGGCCGGAGCTGGGAACCTCGTGGGGCCCCTGGAGCTCCGTGACATCAAAAGTCTGCGGGATGACGCTACCACTGCCTGAAATATCCCCCGGAGCCGATAGTGGAAAAGTTGATGTTTAGACCCAGAGGAGGGAGGGGGGAAAAAACCCGGGGGCCCCCGCTGTCCGTGCCAAGGCAAAAACAGCCTGGCGTGGCGAAATAAAATAAAGAAATGCGAGAAAAAACGACTGGAAAGGAACACAGCCCGAAATAACCCTCCAAGCATCTCCCGCCTGCCGGGAGTTATCTGCCTGCTAAATTCTGCACACGCACAGGGCATGAAAATAGCCTGTTTTCCTGCGGTAGCGAGTCAGGAATATAGATAATGACATTCTTATAAGTCACCTCTGTTACTCAGCTTTTCCTGAGTGCCAGTGACCGCCGGGCATCTCGGGCAGCCGCGACCCCCGGGCAGACAGGGGCACCCCGGGAGCGGGGCGGGCGCCCAGCTGCAGGGTGCAGACCTCCCCGGCTTGTACAAATACGCCCGGGCGCTGGAAATAGCTGCTGTCGCAGCACCGGGGCCAGCGCAGGGACAGGGACAGGGAAAGGGACAGGATGGTCCCGCCCTGCGCCAGCCCGTCACATCTGGGAAGCCAGGTAACAGCTGGATGGTGGCCGCAAGCAGGGCCTGCTGCGGGCTGGGCACCCCTGGCAGGGCTGGGGTGTGTGTGGGGGGGGTTTGCCCGGGGGTGTGGGACAGAGGGACAGGACAGCACACACAGAAGTGCAGGACAGAGGGACAGGGTGGCACACAGAAGTGCAGAACAGAGGGACAGTGTTATTCCCAGAGGTGCAAGACAGAAGGACAGAGCCATGCCCAGAGGTGCAGGACAGAGGGATGGGACAGTGCCCAGAGGTGCAGGACAGAGGGACAGGGTGGCACACAGAAGTGCAGAACAGAGGGATGGTGTCATTCCCAGAGGTGCAGGACAGAAGGATGGGACAGTGCCCAAAGTTTCAGGACAGAAGGACAGGGTGGCACACAGAAGGACAGGACAGAGGGACAGTGTCATTCCCAGAGGTGCAGGACAGAGGGACAGGGTAGCACACACAAGGACAGGACAGAGGGACAGGACAGTGCCCAGAGGTGCAGGACAGACAGACAGAGCAATGCC